GGAGGTTGTTTCGGAGAGTGGGGATGTGGAGACCAGTTACCTTGCCAGAGGGGAAGAGTGAACAGGGGAGAGTGGAGAGGTGTGTGCATGGGATGGTGAAGCTGCTGTCAGCACCGTGAACTTGAGTGGGAGGGGAGAGGGGTGTGAGTGTACCAGCATCTTTGAGGGCGGTCTCAGTGGCCCCACTGTCAAGGACAAAGTCCAGAGTGGGTGAGGAGGAGGAGGAAGACACTGAGTACTGGAAAGTGGTTTCATTAATGTTGGATGGGTACATGGAAGGAAGAGAGGGCGAAATAGCTATGTTGCCAAGGAAGCTCTCGTGAGTGAGAGGGGTGGCAGTGCTACTGGGGGGGGGTGGGGCACCCCAAAGGGGGGCAGGTGAGGCTTGAGCGGCCATGGCTGCTGTGCCAAAGTTCAACTGCTGCTGCGGCCAGGGAGGAGGGCTGGGTCCCCACTGTGGCTGGGGTCCTGACCCCCATGGGTGCTGCGGCGGCTGTGGCTGCTGCTGCTGCTGCGGCTGAGGGTGAAACAGCTGCTGCTGCTGCTGCTGCTGCTGCTGCTGCTGCTGCTGTTGGTGCTGCTGCTGGAGGTTGAGGAAGGGTGTGGGGGGAGCAAGGAGGCGGAGGTGGGCTGGGAGGTAGGCTGGATTGGTTTGGATATCGGTGGGGGAGGGGCGTGGGGAGATGTTGCCCCACTTTGGAGGAGTGCCAACGTTACCCCGCGCGTACCAGGCATCGTCGAGAGCCTTGAAGCACGTGCCAGGGGGATGGTTGGTCTGTCCGCAGGGAGTTCCAGCCCGAGGACCATAGCGGCGGACATAGGTGCAGGGAGGAAGCGTGCCAGGGCGACTCCCGCGACTTGCAGTGGGTCCACCCGAAGTGGTGGTGCCGTGCTCATCCCCAGTGGTGCCACCACGGTTGTTGCTGCTTCCCGAACCACCACCTCCCTTGCCCCCACCTCCTCCTTTGCCGTTGTTCTTTCCCTGCTTGCGAGGCTGGGTAGCGTTGAGGGAGGAGGAGGTGGGTTGGGAGGAGGCGAGGTTGACGATGGGTGTACGGAGTTTAACTTCGGTGTCGATAATCCACTGTTCAACGGAGGCGAGACCGGCCATGGGATTGGCTTCGGTAAAGGCGTGGAGGCGGGATTCGTAGTCTGGGGTGAGGTTAAAGAGGAGGCGGTGGATTTGAAGAGGTTCGGAGAGGCCGGCCTGGCGGGCTTCGAGGCGATCAGCTACCTCGCGCATGCGTCCGACGTAGTCGACTGCTCCGTCACAGGTGGCGAGGGTGATGGAAAAATACTCTTGGAAGAGGATGCCGACGGAGCTGATGTCGCGGCGCTCAAACATGGCATGGAGTTCTGCCCAGATGACCGAGGCACGGAGTTCCCGAGCCTGGAAGCGACGCATGAGGGAGTCAGGGAGAGCTCCAAGGAGAACGGTGCAGGCACGGGTGTCAGCAGCTGTCCAGGCGATGAGTCTGGGGGTGAAGTCAGCCATGTCGACCTTGTATTTGGCGACGACCTCGAGGTGAGCGTCGCGACCAGCAACCGCCTGATCATAGGCCTCAATTGAAGCATCGTACTCGGCTTTGCGGATGAGGTATTCACGGCGGCGTAGGATAAAATCAGTGTCCGCAGTGGCTTGGTCGGGGGTGATCTGAAGATCGGGTTCACGAGGAGGGTCGCCAGGAGTAGGAGGAAGAGGAGGAGTCTCGCCGGGGTGGGGAGGTTCGGTGGGGGGGAGGGCATGGGGGCGGCGGAGGATGACGTCAAGGACACGGTAGGGGGGAACCCATGCGTCGGAGAGAACGCGTCGGATGCTGCCGACGAAGGAGTGCCAGTTGACTGCGGACTTGTCCGCGGCGAGCTGGAGCTTATCAATGGAGGACGTATCAATAGGGGGAGGAAGTGGGGAGGGGGAGGGTGTAGGAGTAGCCATGATGGATGGCTGCAGGTGGACCCGCAGTGGTCACGGAGGAGCAACGGCGACGAGGCCGCGGGGGGGGGGGGGGGGGGGGGGGGGAGAGGAGTGGCGTGGGCAGCAGCGGCTGGCGAGGCCGCGGCGGTTGGCGCGGAGGCGGCGTTGAAGCCGCGGAGAGGCGCGGACGGCGGCGGCTGGCGAGGCCGCGGCGGTGCTGGCGGGGAGGCGGCGTCGAGGCCGCTGGAGGGGAAGGCGCGGGCGGCGGCTGGCGAGGACGCGGCGGCTGGCGCGGAGGCGGCGACGAGGCCGCGGAGAGGCGCGGGCGGCGGCTGGCGAGGCCGCGGCGGCTGGCGCGGAGGCGGCGACGAGGCCGCGGAGAGGCGCGGGCGGCGGCTGGCGAGGCCGCGGCGGCTGGCGCGGAGGCGGCGACGAGGCCGCGGAGAGGCGCGGGCGGCGGTTGGCGAGGCCGCGGCGGCTGGCGCGGAGGCGGCGACGAGGCCGCGGAGAGGCGCGGGCGGCGGCGGTTGGCGAAGCCGCGGGAGTGCCGGCGCGGAAGCGGCGACGGGGTCGCGGGAGGGAGCGGCGCGAGCGGCGGCGGCTGGCGAAGCCGCGGCAGTGCAGGCGCGGAGGCGGCGACGAGGCCGCGAGAGGGAGCGGCGCGAGCTGCGGCGCTGGCGAGGCCGCGGCAGTGCAGGCGCGGAAGCGGCGACAAGGCCGCGGGAGGGAGCGGCGCGAGCGGCGGCGGCTGGCGAAGCCGCGGGAGTGCTGGCGCGGAAGTGACGACGGGGTCGCGGGAGGGAGCGGCGCGAGCGGCGGCGGCTGGCGAAGCCGCGGCAGTGCAGGCGCGGAGGCGGCGTCGAGGCCGCGGAAGGGAGCGGCGGCGGCGACGGCGGCCGCAGTGGCGTTGGCGCGGAGGCGGCGTCGAGGCCGCGGGATGGGGCGGGCGGTGGCGGTCGGCGGGACCGCGACAAGGCGAGCGCGGAAGCGGCGGTGGGGCCGCGAGCCGTGATGGCGTGGGAGGCCGTGGGGCTGCGAGGAAGGGAGTGCTTGAGGAGAGGGGGAGGGTGGCGAGATAGCCGCGGAGAAATGAGAGAGGAGGCCGGGGGTTGCGGCGGCCTTTGAAAAAAACTAGGAGCGTAGGCCTAGGATTTTTAAGAGCTCTATACCATGTGAGAAGAAAAGGTAGAAGAGAAGTTGATGGATTGATTGAAAGGATGGGGGGTTTACATAGGAGATGAGTTGGAAACTAGCCTAGGTGAACATTATTGGACCCCAACCAAGGAGTTGGGTTGGGAGATTATTGGTGGGGTCCAATAATGTTGGCCAAGTTGGAGTTGGGCCAACATTATTGGAGGGGACCAATAATTCTACCCATCCCAACCCTTGGGGTCCAATAATTGGACCAAGGTTGGGTTTCCAACCTACAAATTGGGTAACCCCTGCTTGTACACCCAAACTAAGTTTGGGTGCTTATCTCTAGCCTATCCTATAGCATATATGCAGGTTACAAGAGAGGAGATATTCTAACAGGGTTGACTTTTGGGTCAACTCAAAAGTCAGCTGGCGACAACGGGTTGACTTTTGGGTCAACTCAAACGCGACGACGGGTTGACTTTGAGTCAACTCAAAAGTCAGCTGGCGACGACGGGTTGACTTTGAGTCAACTCAAAAGTCAGCTGGCGACGACGGGTTGACTTTTGGGTCAACTCAAAAGTCAGCTGGCGATGACGGGTTGACTTTTGGGTCAACTCAAAAGTCAGCTGGCGACGACGGGTTGACTTTTGGGTCAACTCAAAAGTCAGCTGGCGACGTCGGGTTGACTTTGAGTCAACTCAAAAGTCAGCTGGCGACGACGGGTTGACTTTTGGGTCAACTCAAAAGTCAGCTGGCGACGACGGGTTGACTTTTGGGTCAACTCAAAAGTCAGCTGGCGACGACGGGTTGACTTTTGGGTCAACTCAAAAGTCAGCTGGCGACGACGGGTTGACTTTGAGTCAACTCAAAAGTCAGCTGGCGACGACGGGTTGACTTTGAGTCAACTCAAAAGTCAGCTGGCGACGACGGGTTGACTTTTGGGTCAACTCAAAAGTCAGCTGGCGACGACGGGTTGACTTTTGGGTCAACTCAAAAGTCAGCTGGCGACGACGGGTTGACTTTGAGTCAACTCAAAAGTCAGCTGGCGACGACGGGTTGACTTTTGGGTCAACTCAAAAGTCAGCTGGCGACGACGGATTGACTTTTGGGTCAACTCAAAAGTCAGCTGGCGACGACGGGTTGACTTTTGGGTCAACTCAAAAGTCAGCTGGCGACGACGGGTTGACTTTGAGTCAACTCAAAAGTCAGCTGGCGACGACGGGTTGACTTTTGGGTCAACTCAAAAGTCAGCTGGCGACGACGGGTTGACTTTTGGGTCAACTCAAAAGTCAGCTGGCGACGACGGGTTGACTTTTGGGTCAACTCAAAAGTCAGTTGGCGACGACGGGTTGACATTCGGGTCAACTCAAAAGTCAGCTGGCGACGACGGGTTGACTTTTGGGTCAACTCAAAAGTCAGCTGGTGACGACGGGTTGTCTTTGAGTCAACTCAAACGTCAGCTGGCGACGACGGGTTGACTTTTGGGTCAACTCAAAAGTCAGCTGGCGACGACGGGTTGACTTTTGGGTCAACTCAAAAGTCAGCTGGCGACGACGGGTTGACGACGTGGATACACATAGCACGTATCTGGAAGTGGGATCGGTTACTCACTGGCTAATTGAACGCCTGACTAAGTAGCTCATTGGATACCAGCCATGACTCAAAATATTGGACTGCATAGCCGTTTGAATGACTGACTCTGCATGTGACGTGGTAACACAGTCTGTGTCTCACGCACCGGCCGGCACAATCTGTTTCTTACTGGCCTATACCGGAGATTACCTAGTTAGATTCCTAGCTACACCCAACTCTTTCCCTGAGATTGCGCCTAATTTACCTGGCTTTTTTGTTTCCTGACTGCCACGCCTGGGATTGCACCTGACTCTACACCTGAGGTGGCACCTGACTCTAAACCTGAGGTGGCACCTGACACTGTAGCACATTGTACCTGGCCCAGAGGTATCTTGCATTGTCCACGTGGCGTTGGTTAATGTCTTCCTCCCTCCACCTGATGCTCATAGCAATGCGCAGTGTACAGTGTACAGTGTGCTCAACACACATGGTACAGTAAACATAGAGGAAACATGCATAATGTTTCAAATTATGAACGCAACGAAAGGCAAACAGGTATCGCTGGTGAAACACACGGGGATGGTTAGTGAGTGAGTGAGTGATGAGTGAGTGGGTGAATTAGTGAGTCCGTGAGTGAGCGAGTGAGCGAGTGAGTGAGTGAGTGAGCGAGTGAGTGAGTGAGTGAGTGAGTGAGTGAGTGAGTGAGCAAGTCCGTGAGCACGTGAGGGAGAGACTTAATTTGTCAGTGAGTGAGTGGCCTTTGCGGCATGTCTCTTTTTCGAATTTGATATCCCCATTCTTAATCCCTTAACGCCTCATCCCCTCCTCACCCTCCCCCAAATCCTCACTCCTTCCCTTCCCCCCCACCCCCTCCCCCCTTCCCCCCCTTCCCAGTTTCCCCTTTTCCCCACTTCCCCCATTTGAATTTGATCTCCCCTTTCTCAATCCCTTTATGCCTCACCCTCTCCTCACCCTCCCCCAAATCCTCTCCTCCTTCCCCCCCCTCCTTCCTTCCCCCTCTTCCCGTATCACCTTTTCTCCCATTCATCCCTTCCCCAATTCCCCCCTTCCCCCTTTCCTCCCTTCTCCCCACCTTATTTCCGCGCTCCGCATTTCCGCCTCTTCCCCGAACCATCTCCGCTCCTCCTCGCGGAAGGCCAGGTCGTCCGCGCGCCACTGGCGGTCCTCCGCGCGCCAGCGGCGGTCCTCCTCGCGCCACTGCCGCGACAGCGACGTGTCGAACGCCGCCAGCACCGCCTGCGCCGCCTCCATCGTGCTCGCCATCGCTACGGCTGCTAAGTACGGCTGCTCGACGCGCTTAGCTAAGTATGACTGATATTTAGTCTAACCTAACCCTGAACACAGAATCCTGACATGTCTGCGATTCAAAGGTCCCTACAGTTGGCTGATGCACTAGCAAACTTGACAATAGTAGCCACGGAATCTCGTAGGAAAGGATTTTCCCGCTGTTTGCGTAGTTGCAGGCATTCTCAGCGGCGGTCGCGCCGCCAGCACCGCCTGCGCCGCCTCCATCGTGCTCGCCATCGCCTCCCGTCGCGCTTAAGTAAGTGCGGCTGTTATGTAAAAGAATACCGGAATAGCTCTGCTCGTGCCATAGTCGTGTCCTGACTCCTGAACCTAACACAGTCCCGGGAAGCGTCAGGGCCCATACAGTTCGTTGATACCGTAATAATATCGACAACAGCGGCGTCAGATGCGGAGTTTTTCACAAAAGCGTTCTTTGGCGACTGTCGCGCGTGCAGAAAAGAATGCCCGCATCCATGTAGGACTGCTGTTCGCAGCGCGGACTATATTATATAATATGATCGTTGTCAGGGCCCAAAATTGGTTTAGGCCTACCCTTACAAATCAGGGTTCCAGCCCCTCCTTAGCCCGACCCCTAGGGTATATTCTCGTACCCTGTTTACAGCATGGTAAATCTACCTATAGTCTGATTTGAGCAGGGTAGTTTTAGGCTAAGCCTGTTTCGGCTACTATTTTGTGAGCTAAGTTTTTTATACTAACAAAATAAAGTTGCACTCACAACAAGGTCTGACAGGGCGAATCTCTTGTGTAAGGGCGAATCTGCTCTTGTGTCAGGGTGTTCCGCTGTGATTGGGCAAATTTTCTGCTCTCTGACAGCGCAAAACTGTGGTTGGGCGAATTTGCTGTGCTCTGACAGCACGAAACTACCGTGCGACAATTCTTGTTTGTGGGGGTGTGGAACGTTTTGTCACCACGCGGACTGTGGCAAAGTATACCTCAGCGGACGAAAAATGCCGCCCAATTTCGCGGTTCAAAAGGGACAAGGCCCCCCCTCGGGATTGACGACCTCTTGACGACCTCCGAGCTCCCAGACGGGCCCAAATGGCGTCCCAGGGGCCTCGGGAGCCCTCGGGATTGTCGACAATCCGACGACACCCGTTTGCGCTGGGAGATTCCTGAGAAGGAAATCTCAGCGGACAAAATTCGCCACGTCGAGCCGCGGATGCCTCCACGCGGACCAATAGGGAGGTGCGAGACCCGCCCCACCGATTACAAGGCTGCCACGACGTGGGCGTCGTGGCCACGCGTCGCTCTAGCGGTGCAAACCCACGCGGCGCAAATCGGACCGTCCACATCTTCACTGTCTTGTGGCATCGCGGGTTGCCAGGGAAGTCGGTGTCGACCAGATCATCCCAAGGCACACAAACCCGGCCACACGGCACGTTCTCTGCCAAGCGCGCCGAGTGGAAGTCGGCGCCGATCATAGGCCCCCCACGGCATGGTTGCCACGCCGTGCTTGAGTCATCCCGGGCCTCCGGGAGATCCATGTCTGCTTGCCTTAATTTCTGCACTGGGGCGCCAATGGCGGTCGCAAGCCACGTAACGCACGCCCATTCCGACGTGGAATGGCACTGGCTTACGCCCCTTCCGTGCAGCGCGGCGCCCAGCTAGCCATGCCTGGCACGTGCCACGTCGGACAGTGCGCCGCCTTTACGAGAACACATGCACGGCGGCGGATGCATTGGGGTGTGCGTGACGCGCGGCAGCATCGTAGTCGCTCAGGACCATACCCGTCCGTTGCCCCGCGAGCCTGCTCATTCGCTTGTCCGTTCCTGCGTTCCTTCCTGCTCTCTCGTTCCCTTAGAATTTTCAGCTGCCAGTCTGTCATCGCGCCTGTAGGTTGCTCGACAGCCGATTGTTCGTCCAAGTCGGCACAGGTTCCACGTCGCGAGTCGACGTAGCAAGTCGGCGACGCATGGCCAGAGGTCGCCCGAGGGCCCAACAGCCGCAACCCATCCCACCCCCCGCCGACTCGGTAGACGCCGACATCAAGGCGCAGCTGGAACAGCTTGAACTCGAAGCCGAGTTAGACGCGCTTGAGCGAGAATTCGAAGAAGACGAAGACCGCCTGACGCTTCGCGCGTTCGCCGCACCCGTCACACAGTACCGTCTCTGGTTTACCACCCCCCGCGATCTCGAGGTCGACGCCGAGATAGACGTTATTGAGGGACATCTCGAGGACGACCGCCGCGCAACTGTTCGGGCGTACACCGCACCCGTGACTCAGTACCGGCAGTGGTTTAACAACCTCCCCAACGCACACGGACGACGGTAGAGCAGCAGACGTGTACCGACATGGCCGACGTCGACATGTCCGACGCTAGGCCATCCACCGACCAGGGTCCGACGACCACCGACCGCAGTCCGACATCCACCGACCACAGTCCGACACCTACCGACGAAGACAACCTGCAGTTACTCTACGATCTGGACAAGCTGACGCAGATCCCAGAAGGGGTGTTCACCACGGACGTTCCGCCACCGCCGATAGGGAAGTTCAACAAGAAGAAAAAACAGACTCCTACGCAAAATGGTCGGCCAGGTACCTCGTCGGCACCGGCCGCCCCTGGAAACCAGGTCGATGACGAGGACGCGGAGGAGGAGGGGGGGGAGGAGGAGGAGGAGGAGGAGGAGGAGGAGGAGGAGGAGGAGGAGGAGGAGGAGGAGGAGGAGGAGGAAAGCGATGACGAAAACGACGACCGTCCACCTCGTAGCTCTAATCCGCGCACCTTGGACGAACGACTCAGGCGGGAACTGCAATTCATCGACATACTGCTCGACCAGGACGAGATTGAGGACCAGGAGAACTTGGCGGTGCCGCGCGAACAGTGGAGAGCGGCAGACTTCGTCGAGGAGGACATGGTTTACGCGTGCGTAGACGTGCTCGTCATGGACGCTCTTCGCCACCTGCAAACCGTGGAGAGGAACAGCACGCTGAGGCAGTACACCTCGTGGATCTATCACTACAAGAGGTGGGCGGCGAAGATGTTGAAGCAAATTCGCAACAAGCTTCCGCAGGAGTACAGGCTTAAGCACGTCGACGAGATAGGGCACTACATCCGGGAGAACAAGAAGAAAAACTGGGACCAAGAGGCCGATGTCTTTCGGTCTCACGTGTGGCTGCACGGCCCTAGGGTCACCAAGGACCGGCTTCGCGCATACGTGAAGTACATGATTCGGGAGTTGAACCTCGATGCCGAGTCCGGCAAGGGGGCCGACAACGCCACAGGAACACAGCCGGTGCAGTCGACAACGGTACACACGCTCCTCGGGCGCATAAAGGCATGCCAGATGGCGGCGAGAGTGGAGGCGACGCTCTTCCGGGAGACGGAACTGAGCATCATGAGGGAGATATCGGTGGTCAGGTCGGAGGTGCGGTACATGATCCGCACCAAGAACGAGCGGGACATCAAGTGAGTTTATGTTTTAACCTACGTCGACCACTCTCCTGCTGTCATGATCTTTGTCGACGCCGCCCTAAATACCCCTTGCCCATGGCATTGTTGGCAGGAACTGCGCCGATCGCCGTCGCGGAACCATCGGCGATACCTACACCGCCGAACAGTTCCGCCAGATCATGTTCAGGGTGCTGCCGGCGTGGGCGGCCAAGGCGTGGAACCCGCGGGGTACGGGTCCTTCGCAGACGCTGTGGAGGTTTCTTCTCTTGAAGGTGCTCACGCTACTCTCCCACCACTCTCTCCTGCGCGGTGCAAGCATCCGCGAGATCACTCTCCCCGACATCTTCTTGTACCGACTGGCGAGCACCTCCTCGATCAACCCGGAGAACCAGCCGGTCGTCATGGTCATCGGAGCGCGGAACTCGAAGACGTCCAAGGATGCTCGTCTGCAGCAGAGCTACGCCGCGCGGCACCTCGAAGCGGAGTTGTGCGCCGTCGGCGAGACGGGCCTGTGGTTGCACTTCGTCTTCGATTAGATCGGTCAGTTTCACGGCGTCCGCCTCATTCCGCCGGTCGACACCAGCACACGCGCTAGCTGGTACAAGAAGCACCTGTTCTTCGCCAAAAACGACACCGACCAGGGTGAGCTCTCTGCGGCAACCCACCAACGCTGGACGCGGCAGTTGTGGGACACCAACAAGGTGTTCTGCAAGAGGAACGTGCACGCCGCTCGAGCGGGCGGGGCCCAGGAGCTGGCTATCGACGGCACGCCGCGCGCCGAGATCGCGGAGCTTGGACACTGGGCTCTCGACAAGATGACGCGAGCGTACATCACCGCCATTCCGGTGGGGGTGGTGATGAAGAAGGCCGGGTACTCGGGGTACAAGCAGGACTACTTCTTGGGTCGGAGCAGGGTGCCGCCCTCCGAGAAGCTCCTGAAGCTCCTCGCCGAGCACATATTCCCCGGCGTCGACGACATGCTGAAGGAGGTATGTTAGTCGACGCCCTCGTAGCTTGCCGCCGAGTCGTGTTGCCGACCTTTTCTGAGCTCCCCGTACCCGTGACAAATGGCAGGCGGAAGGGAAGGCTGTCGAGGGGTCAGACGCCGACAAAGCCGCGGTGCACTTCTGGCGCACTCTCCTGATGCTGCGCCGCATCGTCGCCGAGGACCTAGCGGTGAAGCTAGTCCGCACACCATGGCACCCGTACGTCCAAGGTTCCAAGCTCTGCCGGATCCCCCTCTTCCAGCACTGGGCGAAACGGGTGGAGAGCGTCGACACCGAGACGATCAACAAGCGTCGCGACCCGACCCAAATACAGCCAGAGGTAAGTCGACGATACTGTCGCCGACGTGCAGTAGGGAGTGTAAACCAAACCACCGCGGCCCTCACGTTTTCCTCCTCCTACTGCTGCAGGAAATCTCGGTGCGCATGGACACCGAGTACTACAACATGTCCCTCAAGGCCCAGATGCAGAAGGAGAAAGAGCGCGCCGCGAACGAGAAGATTGATCTCCTAGAGGAGATCGAGAAGCGCGACGACACCATCGCTGGGCTCACCGCCGAGCTAGCCCGTGTCACCGAGGCACTCCGCTTGTCGGAAGCACGGAGAGTGCCGGTGGCCCCGCCGTCGGCTCCCGCGCAGACTCCCAGCGATGGTGGATCGGCGGAGTCGGCCAGCACGGGGGCTGGAGCCAAGAAAGGGGATGACAAACCCCCGCCCCCCCCACAGACGGACGAGGAGGCCAGTTACGAGCTCAACGTGGTGCAACCGTGGCGGGAGGCAAAGACTGTGAGGGACGCTTGGCGCCTATGGAATTCCG